TCTTGTCACTGGCGCGGGGACATAGAGAAAATCTGAGTAACCGTGAGAAATCAAACCTCAAACCTTCGGATTTGTTTGCTTTCATGCTCTACCACGGAGCTAGGCTGTTACCTAGTAATAGCTTTGCTCTCCGTAGAGTCCTTTGTAGCTCAGTGGTCGAGCATCGGAGCACGGCACTCCGAAGGTCTTGGGTTTATTTCCTCATGGGCATTCAGATTTATTCTTTGATCCACGACTATATGAGTTTCCGAAGAAAAACGAAACAAAACGACGAATGCCTTTTTTAAATAGTTATGGGGGGATGTTTGTCTTAATTGATTCACTCACATCTTTTAGCTCCATGTTTTACAGAAGACAAGTCCAAACCCGTCAAGAGCATTTCGTCATCGAGTCTAAGCAGACCAAGGTCGGCAACATCGAGAACGGCATCGGTAAGGACATTAACAGATCAACGATAAATTCCTGTTCGTGACAATTTTTACATAATGCTCCATCTATTATGTGAGATACCCCTAATATAAAATTGTTCCAGTACTAGGGAAATAAAAATAAACTGCTTTCTCAGATTCTAACATTCCGGATTTTCTAATTTTTCTCGCATAAGCATTTTGCACATTATCAGAGATTAAGAAGAGCCTGTCGTCAAGATATTGGATGCAACACTCTCCCAATGAACTTTTGCAAACAAAACAGCAAAAAAATATCCTAAAACGGACTCCTTCCCTCCCTTCCCCCAACAGTAAAAATAGTCAAAATAGTCAGGTCACATGCTCATCATACTATGACTTCATGTGCTTCCTACTCATTGAAAAATCCCCACCCTTCCCCTCCTTAGACCTTATGCTTTTAAAAACATCAAGCTCTGTTACACGATGTATCTTATCTTGCATCCCCTCGTGAAAGTTCCTCCATGGTGAAAATAATTTTTTTCTCAACCTCGGCATTAGGTCGGTTGTTACGCCTCAATTTGTTTGTTTGTTTGTTTGTTTTTTTTCTTTACGACGGTTTTTCGCTTAAACCGTTCGCCATTACATGGTTATTTGTCCGTTGAGAACTAGAGCGAGAGAGGAAGTGACGCCATTTATTCAACAGTTTGAAATTTGAATTAGGTAGAACGGCAACTAATTTCTGACAACTTACTTCTGACATTTGTTCTGACGAAGGGCTGAGGCTCCAAACGTCAGCTTTATAAATTCTATACGGTGGCTAATTTACATTATCAATTCGGGTGATAAAACCAAATTATCTGGTAACTTCAGGAAGCACGAATGCTACAGCAAAAATTCACTGGGTGCATGGAAAGGAGAAAAAGTCCAATTTTTAAGTAAGCAATTTTTAAAGGAAATCAAAAAGCGCTGAGGAACCAATAGCAAACCATTTTAATATGACTATCTCTTTTAATCTTTGCAGCCTGGTGTATTACGAAGCCAAAGCATGTCTGCTGCTAATATGTCCTCCTCTCCGAAGTCTGCGTCCTCCCCGAGAGTGGCGCGGAGCAAGACCATGTCTGCTGTCGTGCGGCGGTCGTACCCGACTACTGCCAACGAATTAGAGAAGAAACCAGTTGACAACGCTAGGGGAAGGGCTGTGATAAGCAGTACTTCAGATGATAGCGATGTGGAATCAAGCGACGCTTCCCAGACGAGACAGACTAAAGAATCGCGAAGGAAGAGCGACGAGTCCGATAAGAAGGGAGTTCAACTTATTCCTGAAAAGGAGGGGAAGCGACCGCTGTCGGCCCCCCGCCCCAACAAGACAGCTATGCTGAGAGCGTACAACAGCCGAGAAGCTGTGAAGAACAGTGGGGTTAAGAGCAAGACTGCAGTATCGGCGAAAGCGAGGACTGCTAAGAGCTCATCGCCGAACAATGGAAATTCAAGTGAATCTTCGCCGTCTGCGAGAGTGTGGAGTCCAAGTGTGAAAAGATCAACAAAGTCTTCTTCGGGCGATAGTATCCGTGAGGAAGAGGAGAATGGTACCAATTGTAGCTCGCCAGCAAGCGATGACGTCACTCAGGAGGCGATAGACCAGGTTTTTTCTTCAGGCTCAGTCCAGCAACTTCCAGAGTCGCTTATAATGAAGCGGGATGATAATGTTAACAAGACTTTTGTGCTCGGTAAGGGGTTACTCAATTAATTCATGACACTCGCGTTTTGAATTCGGCTTATTTTAACTTTTTTCTTTGTAACGCTGTTAGCTTATTGGCCAGAAATGTACCTTGATGTTGCTTTTCGAAATTGCGTTTCCCATTTTGCACTCCTTCGAAAATCACATCATCGAGAAGCTGTGCTAGGTAACTGGTGTAGAAGTTATTACAAGTTATTAATTAGACACGGGGACGAATGAACCATTTCTCACCAATTTTTCATTCTAGTACTTCACCTATTAATATAAAGTCTGTCCAGAGCTAGAGAAGGCAACAAATTCCTAGGGCAACTAAAAAGTGATATTGTCCTATGGAAACCTACGTGTTTCTGTAATTTTCCTTTAGCAATTCAGCCCAGTTGTTTGTTTGTAGTTACAGCGCAACCATTATTGCCAGTGTCGATTATGCAAAGTGAGCGATGAATTCTCGCTTAATTTTAAGTCACTGTGATATTTTCTTAATTTGGTTGCAAGCTTTGATTGGCGCAATCAATTTGAGCTGAAACCTCCCTTCATTTCCTTTAATTTCAATCTCTATGAGAGGTTCTGCCAGTTGTTTAATTATTTTTTCACCAAACTTTGGTTTTTTCTTAATCAGATGACGGTAATGAGGACAATTCTGTTTCATCTCCCGAAGACACGTCCATACAAGCATGGGTCGGCGAAGCAGCCAGTGGTGAAAACGTTCTTGAGTGTAATGGCGTCGTCACGAAAAACACTGCACCGGTGTCTCCGTCTCGTGAAGAACCAACGGAGATAAAACTTGAAACAACCAACACTAAAGGAATCAGCTTGCGTAGTAAGCTTATACCATTTGCACCCTTCTTGGAAAACCAGTCATACATACCCCCCGTGTCTGATCTTCCTTTTGAACCTCCCAGTGACTCAGCAGACGACACATCCGGGAGGTCTCGTTGTTCTACAGCAGAGAGTAGGCCCATTTCGCCGGAGTCAGCGGTTTCGACCGCACCTGCTGCCTCCCCCTCGCCACCTTTGACTCCGAACTCTGCAGCAAAGAAAACATTTGATTTTAAGGGGGGAGCAACATCTTCGCAAAGCAGGAGGCAGTGGGGTGTCACTGACAAGGTAAGGCCTCGTTCGTCCGACTCTTGTTGACTTGCGTAGGGTCTCCTAACACCCGGCATCTGGGCTATTTCGAAAACACTTTTTGCCTTTATTTTCCTTATCAGTTTCCTTCTCAGTTTCTTAGCGAAGATTTAAACCCGATTGCTGTCCATATAGACGGGAAAATTTCTCTCGGCTAACGAGAAAAACAATGCGTAATCTTTGAGGTTCCGTCGAGGTTTTCTAAACCGATTACCAAGATCTCAGTAACCGCTCCAACCCGCTTTCTCATTTAAACAAACTTTAATTGATTCTGCAAACTAAAACAGCTCAGCTTATTGAAATTATAATAAGAAGTTCCTCAGCTGAGCCTAGTTTTGCTTTCTGCATGATTTCAATTTGGTACAAGATACCAAATTTTTTACCTTGGTACAAGGTAAAATTAATGAAAATAACCGGTATAAAAAATTGGATTAAGCTGTGGTACAAATTGCTCAAGGCATTTTTGCCTTTCCTACCCCTGAGCTTGCTATTTTTCCTTTGAATCTCATGAAGAGAGACACAATCCACGCTAACTCAACTGTATAAGAAATCTGAACGATTTTATTCAAAAACACCTTCTATCATTGTGTTTTCAGCCTGTTGAGGATCTGATGTTGTCCTCAATTCACGCATTCTCCGTAGAGTTACGGCTAGCTTCGGAATCCGTGCTGGGCAAAGTGAAGTACGTAAAATATTTGTCTTCATCGGTCAGAAAAAAATCCTCTCTGCGTTTCTAGAACACACGAACTTAAAGCACCGACATTACGATAATTTAATTTTATATTTAACTTTGAATATAATAAGACCCTGAAGTATTTTTTTCTCGGATGGGAAAACAAGAAGGAACTTAGTAAAAGATGGCAGATATAAGAACAGACTGCAAATAACGATTTCGAGAAATCAAGGTTACAGCCTTGTAGTAAAATAGCACACGAAACGAATGCTAACTGAATGGTCGCGTTTCAGAACTCTGTACGATGGAAGCGAGGAGCTAAACGGCACTGCAAGGTCAAGGACGGATTCTGACGCAAAACAGGAATCCAAGAGTGCCATTCCAGATTGGAAGAGCTCTCACGCGGTAAGTGAATAACTAAGGCAAGGAAACTGAGTGTAGCACATCATAGCGTGGCTTGATGGTAGTGTTTCGCTTGCAATAATAGGGAACTAACGCTGTGAATACGACGACGCCGAGGAAAACATTAAATGAAAACACATTATTTTGTTCAGAGTTTCGCGGGCGTTTCCGTGCCAGAGCCGTTTTTAAAGGCTTCAGACCTCTTCGTCGGGATAACATATGGAGGTGTCGTCGAACTTTACTTACAAACACAATTGCAGCTCAACAGCAAACCAAACCGAACTGGTTTTCGAACGAAACAAAATTGGGTTTCACGTTGCTGTTAAGCAGAGGACAACAAGGAAATCTACAAATTTTCAAACCGCACGTGCAGAGCCATTATTTTACCTAGTGTATCTTTTGTTGGAACACGCTCTCGTTTGCGCCAGGTCGTGAGAATACCTGCCAAAAGCAAACGATGCAAAACTCAACGTTAAAACACAAGTGACATGTCTTTTATCTTGATGTACTGCTTCTCCATCTCTTTTGTTTCCTCTGTAGCGTAATTTTACGGCACTTACTTGTTTTGGAGTTGTTAAAAAAGTTTCTTTTTTGTTTATTTTTGTTTTTTCTAACAGGAGATAGCTGGGATATTTCGAAACTTGCGAAAGGTTGAGCTTCGCCTTCGCAGTAAGTATGATTTGCTATCTTTTTGTCGGCCTAAACAAAGACAAATCTACTATTTTTGTTCGGGCTGGTGTGACGTGTGCATTTTACTTGTTTCCACCGGATCCTTTGTCATAGCATAGCGACAAAATCCTTCTGAGTCTAGGCTACGCTATTTCATTAATTATCCCTCAAGGCATATGCAGTGAGTAAGATTGCTATCTCTATTTTTATCACCACTACAATTCCAATCTTGCTAATCATGTCTCTTTTTCAATGTTCAGCGATGGAGCAGGCCTTATCCATCATGTGTGTCGCAGCTCAACGGGACCCTAATCAGGTGAGTGCATCAATCGTTAAAACACAGACATGTAACACTTGTCGCTCCTGTTCTGAGTTCCAATGCTGATGACAAAATTCCCATCTCCTGACCTGCCGTTGGCGTCTGAATGACGCCTAAATTGAGCTCATTTATCTTTGTTTCTAACGAACGCTGCTTCTCATTTCAATATCAAACGGAAGCGCCTTTTATTAATCAGTGCACCTTTGTTTCTAGTCTTTCCAAGAGAGGAAGATTTCAATGGTGGAAACGTCTAGCCTGGGTAAGGAAAACTTATATGGTGGAAACCTTTGAGAAAACTTGGAATTCATTTCGTGTCACCGTTGTCGACGATTTTATCTTCTGGCACATCATTTCATTGTTGGTTTTTGTCTTTTGAGCTCAAAAGATGTTTTCCCTTTTCTTTTCTTGGTTAGCCTCAGGCCAAAAATGGAGAGAGTTTAAAATCAAGGCTCGCCGGAATTCTTGGGCAGTGGAACACAGAAGCCAGTTCCCAGTTCCACCGGCGGAATCTGACGAGGAGGACGAGGACACTTCGTGACTGGGTCATGAAATAAAATACTGGGAAATGAAGTAGAGCACTCGATCCCGCCTGGAAAAAAAAAGAGCTGAAAGTTTGTGAACGTTCGGGCTACGCCATTGTCAGTCTGTTGTTGATATTATGGAGGATTGCGGTTGGCAACGAAATTGTTTTGAATAAGTAAGTTCACTTTTCTGAGGAAGGAAAAGAAGGAATTGCACTATTGATGTGTGGTAGAATTTTGACTGTGAATTTTTTTTTTTTAATGAAAGATTCCGGAGAAAAGAATTTGTACATTTGCTTTTTATGAAGAAGCCAATTTTGTTCATTTTTGTGTTGAATATAGGAATCTTCGTGAAATTGCCATCTTAATGATGAAGCCAAATGAGCCGTAAATGTAAATGTATGGGAGAGCATTGTAAAAATTTCAATTGCTATTTAATGCACACAGATTATGGATGTAAAAAGATAAGATTATACACGGAATAAAGATAACGAACAGGAAAGTGAAACTCAGGAGAATTTCTTAGCACGTGACATCTGTTCGCCTGCTAATGAACACGGGGTTCGAATTAGGAATGGCACTTGCATTTGCAAACAACATTAATCCCTCTAATTTAACTAATTATTTATCTATTTTCGACAGTCGTAGACCTTCCACGCCTAGATTTAGACCTCCCTACTTCCAAGCTTCCGTGTTCTGAGAGTTCTACCCCCTCTTTCTCGAATTCTTTCTCCAATCTAACAGCGAAGTTAGCTCTACAGAAATAATTGTTTGACCATTGTGCGCGAGAAATCAGTAGGCGCAAGAATTCACTGTTAAATTGAAATACTCAAAACGCGTAAGAGTCTTCCATTTTCAACTTGAACATGTTTGATGATTGCAAAATCGTTTGATTACCTCGAGGAAGATTATTTCGTTAAGAATGAAGCTAATCCGATGCCGTTTCTTGATAAACGCCACCAGCCGATGGGAATTTTCCGGCGGTTTCTCCTGCGGCTTCTAGACGACCGCTTATGGCCCTTAAAAATATCGGAGGAATTTTCTGGCGGTTTCTCCTGCGGCTTCTAAACGACCGCTTATTTCCTAAAAAATATCGGAGGGAGAATCTCCCTGCCATAGTGGAAGACATGTCCTACACAGGAAATTTCTCCCACTAATTTCCCTTTCCAATTCGTTATCGCTCATTTTCGCGGCTCCGCGAGAAAAAGAATTCGGCCAATATCCAGCCATCTTGACATCACGCTTTCTTAATAACGCATATATTTGTTAAATATACTTGGGAGCTTTGGGAGGGTACTGCTACACGTAGGCTAGGGGCTTTATGATCAAGCGCGGTAAAGACAAATCATTTTGGAGCTAATTGTCTTTAATAACATTCTCAATTTTATCTGCTTGGGAAAACATACCTTATATTATCTTAAATTACTTAACTTAAATGTTTTCTATTCCCATGTCACAATGTACGAAAGTTGAATGCAATAACTTAATGGTGTCACACGCGAGGACCTTTTTTTGCGAGCGTGTTTAGGCACTTGCGTGTGATCCACGCTTCCTTACCTTTAGACATTAATTTCTACTGTAAACAGTCCGCAATTTTAAGCTGCTCAATCCTCAAATTTCCAAAGCATTTTTGAACCCTTGAGGAAATCCCCAAGCTAAACACACTTCGGGCCACATTATAATTAAGTGTAAAGAAGCTAAAAAAGTGATAAACAAGCAAAATTTTCTCTAACAATAAATACAAACTCACGCGTTTCTTACGCTACATGCGATATTTACCATCATTTGTTCCAATTTGAGAAGTTTTCGGTTGAGTGTCGAACGTAATAAGGGATGGATTGGTTTGCTTTACTTTGCTCCGAAATTGGTCCTGAAAATTCGTGCCTCTTTGTCAACAAAACAGATGCAACGCAAAAACCAATCACGACGTGTTTCGGCAGTTTGGTTGTTTTATGTTTGAGTTCTCATTGGCTTTTAAAGGTCTTTTCCTTTCTTTTCGTTGGCCGCTGGGATTACTTTGATTATGGTTTAACGACACTCACGAGAAGTGCTTCATACGAAAATTCCATAGTTGGCAGAATTTGTGGAGCAGACCGATTAAGGTTAAAATATCTTGAAATATGTTTACGGCGATGTAGTACTAAAAATGCATCTCCTTTCCAAGCTACCTAGACTTAAATGTTCAATGAATAAACAAAAACATCGCCGCAAAACATAACTAAACAAAAGATCGCGTAGATTCTTTTTCGAACGCATGAATTTGAATTTTCTTTTTCGACTTCAATCTAACTTGCCTAGAAAACTCGTACCACCCTCTTACCTAAATCAAATGTAAATTTAACAAAGGCTTCTTTGCCACTCATATTTTCTCGCGCTTTCTACAGTTCACTTGTTTTCCATTCGTTATCATTGGCTCCCTGTAACATTTCGTTTGTTCTGATTGGCTGTTGAAATTATGGCACCTTGAAAAACAAGACCAGGACACCAGAAAAAAAAGAGCTTGAGATAGAATGATCAAAAACTTGCGACGCAATACGTCACTATATACATGCTGTCTAGAATTAAAAATTAAGCGAAACGACTTTTGGACAAAATATGACAATGGTAAACTGTAGTGGCCCAATCAATTCACCTCACAAGGTTTAACCATCCACTCTGCTTGCGCCGTGGAGTATTTCAACTCAAAGTAAAGAACGCTCGACGTATAAAGCAAACTATCGTCACAAGATACGGGCTCTCTAAATTTCAATTTTATCAGTTGGCGTAAAGAAAGCAGGACTGCAACTCGCTGATCTTTCTAAACGACTCATTCGCGGGTTACTGGCCGTGGCCGCTTTCGCGAGTCCTTGTGCTTTCGAACTTCCTAACTCAACCGACAATGAGACCTTAGTCTCGTCAAAATATACACTATTAGTCCTTCTTGGACGCGGCTTCGCTTTTCCTTTCACTCCTTCAACGATATATTGTCCATCTATATCACTGTAACGTGTCGTAATCCGTTTAGGGTCCACCCCTTGGGGAATGGGAATAGCTCTTGAGAATTTCGCACCCTCTGCACCCTTGCCGTTTCTCTGAGACCGCTTTCCTTGGAGTAACACGTGCTCTCCTTCGACCTTCCATGTTATGTTCTCCGGGCGGTAGACCCCTATGTCAAAACACGCAAGACGGACAGTTTCTCCAGGTGTTTCAGTGCTTTCTTCTCCCACTGAAAAGAATTCCGAGGAAAAGCCAGGCGACTTGAGAAGATCAGATAGGATTCTTTTGCTGTCACTGGAAAGGCTGTGATAAAGAACAAACGAGTCAGTAAGCTGCTTGAGAAAGAGTCTCAAAAATTTCGTGACTCCAACAATCTTAGATGACCTGGGAAGTCACAATGGTGTCAGTTTTTGCTCTACACTGTTCTGTGATTGGTCTAGCAAATTAACCTGCGATAGACTCGAAGCTATCTCTTAGTTAGCATCACCAATGGATGACAGCCTAAAATTTTGGCCGGCCGCGCGCCAATTCCTGTGCAAATATTTTGTAATGAACGCATGGGGAACAAAAAAAAAAAAAGGAATGAAACGTTTAAAGAATCAGAAGAAGAAAAAAAAGGAGGGAAAAGAATTCGAGTCTTTTCAAACACAAAGCTCATCTAATCACGGGTAATCTGTTGATTTACAATTTCGTTTTCAGCTCTATCGGAAGAAGATGAACGTTTTAACCGTAATTGACTGGGTCGTGTAGTTGTTTATATCTCCAGTTACACTAATTGGTTTTGACAGCCTATCAAAAGCAGACGACCTGGGCTTTACAACGCTTGCGCATGCGGATACATTTGACTGCTGTGTTGCCGCAGGCTATTGCAGACCCGTGTCACTC